GGGATTGGAGGGGGTGCATGGCTGTTTGGGGGTGAGGGAGACAGGGCTGGAGGGATGGGGATTGGAAGGGGGTGTGTGGCGGTCTGGGGGTGAAGATGGGGCTGGAAGGATGGGGATTGGAGGGGTTGCCTGGCTGTTTGGGAGCAGGAGGGAACAGGGCTGGAGGAATGGGGATTGGAGGGGGTGCATGGCTGTTTGGGGGTGAAGGAGACAGGGCTGGAAGGATGGGGATAAGGGGCAGTTTGGGGGTGAGGGGGACGGGGCTGGAGGGGTGGGGATTGGAGGAGGTGCATGGCTGTTTAGGAGTGGGGGGAAGCTGTGCGTCCCCATTAGCCTCTTCTTGCCAGTTTGTTTCCCTTCCCCTCTAGCGCGGGGAGGGGGAGCACAGCTGGGCGGTGGGGTGGCAGCCATTGCGCGGGCGCCCCCTGCCAGCCGCTTCTCTCCGAGTTCCTGGGGTTGGTCTCTCCGCCCGCAGCGGGAGCAGGGGCCGCGGCCTCCCCCGCCTGGATACTCCTCCTGTAGGGCAGCGAGGAGGAGTGACCGTGCCAGCCCCCCGGCTCCCGCCCCCTCCCGGCAGCCCGGAGCTTCCTTTCCCCGCCGGCTCCGCACGCTGCCCGGCAGGCTGCAACATCCCGAGCCCGCTGGCAGGGAGCTCAGCCACCCGTCCAGCCCCGGATCCTGCCCCCAGCAGCAGCTTTACAGGCACCGATCGGCTCGGTTGAATTAATGTCCCGGCACTAGGCGGCTGGGGAGCGCGGCGGCTGCACCCGGGAGCCTGCGCAGGGACTGGAGCCGGCCCGGGAGCCGCTGCTGCAGCGGGAAGCCGGCCCGCTCTGCTGGAGCCAGGGGAACCGGATCAGGTGGCTGGAGTCGGCGTGGGAGCGGCCGCTGCGTAAAGGAGCCGGCTCGGGTGACAGCAGAGAGCTCGGCATGACTCTCAAGTCGAGCCGGGGCGACAGCGTGAGCAGCATGCGGACGGCGCTCTCTGACCTGTACCTGGAGCACCTGCTGCAGAGCCGGCCTAAGCCCGAGGTGAGGGCGCTTCCCGGGGGGGCAGGGACAGCGGCAGGCAGCCGCAATAGGGTAGCACGTCCCGGGGGGCTGTGGCAGCCTGGGAGCCAGAAGCCGGGCACAGTGTGATGGGGGAGCCAGCAGCCGGGCAGAGTGCCCAGGGGGCCTCTAGCAGTCAGGTCTCATACAGTGCGGGGTGATAGCCCTAGGACACTTTATGTTTGGCGCTCCCCTGACCCGGAACACACTATTAGCTACTAACTTCCCTGGGGTAGAATTGAGTGACCAAGCAGTTTGATGTACATTTGTGGTACAGCGCCAATCACATTTCACTTCCCTCCCTACAGCTGGCAAAGCAGGGGCACTGGGAGCTAAGAGGTCTGGGTCTCCCAGTGTGAATTTTGGCAAGGCTCTGCACCACTCCATTTCTCAGTTTCTATATCTGCAAAATGGGGATAATGATCCCTCTCCTGGTGTGAGATCCACAGATGGAAGGTGCTCATTGCAAAGTCTCTCTGTTCTTATTCACTCCAGTCTCTGGCCCTTGGGTGTGTATAGCCTTTTCTGTGAGGTCACTGAAGGGTTGAGGCTGGCGTCAGTGAAGCTGCTCTTCACAACACTGAGGATATCAGTGTTTAGGAATCCAGTTCACTTGCCTCCCCACCCCTACTCTGTCCACGGTGCTGGCAGAGATTGTGGCCCTCATCCTGCTCTTGCTTGCTCTGGTTTGAATCCGAAGTGACTCCCTTGAAGACAGCAGCATTAGAGCAGTGTAAAACTGTTGTGAGTGGGATCAGGGTTAGAGCTGGGGGGTGCTGTGGCTGAAGATCCGGGAGCAGGGGGGAGTGCTCGCTCTGTGTAACTCCGACACTACCTCCCTGGCTGACGTGGGGGCAGCATTGATTGGTTTTGGAGCCCCCTGTCCAGGGTACAGTGAGGAAACCCTAATCTGAGGGTAGGGAGAGCTGCAGATGCAAAAGCAAGGTGTGAGGCAAGGAGGTGGTATTCACTGTCCTTAGATCTCTGAGTGGGGCTGGGGGACAGCTGAGGGGCTGACAGCTGTACTTAAATCTGTAATGAACTGTCCTGCTCTGTTTCCATCACGCTGCAGCATTTCATGGGTGGCTCTCCTCTCTGGGTGGATAGTAATGGGGGGGAGAGAGGGGGCAGGCATGTGAAGCTAGTTTGGAAGAGGATTTGCCATTTTGCTCCTGGGTAGGGAACGAGTAGCTGAATGGGATGAGGAAAGCTGCAGCTCCAAGCTAAAATGAGACTCTTTATTGTTTTTGCTGCAAAGTTGTAGCTGGTCTGAACTGGAACTGCCTGTCACATGAGCTGATTTAGCTACTGAGCAGTCTCCAGCAAGCAGGTCCACATATCTGGCTGGAGGAGATATGGCAATGGATTTTAGCCCTGGGAAACTGGGGCAGGCCAATCTTGCACATGCCTCCTAATTCCTGCTCCTGAGACAACGATCATTGTGTGGCAGGCTTCATACACAACAGCACTGGCTGAATGGCAGTGGCATTGGTTAAGAAAACAGCTGTAGTGTGCCCCTCTGTTTCAGGGCTACATTATCAGCTGGTGTAAATTGGGGTATCTCCAGTGCAGTCAATGGAGCTTTGATAATTTACATTGCCTGAGGATCTGGCCCATTATCCTCAGAAGTGCTCAAGAATCTCAGCACTGTTAGGGTGTGTAGCTTTCAGGCTGCAAAGCTGCACAGTTGAGCAATGACTGCTTCTCTTTTTAAACCCACAGAAGCAGGGAGGAAATTGGAGACCAGACTGAAACTTTATCCTTAACCCACCCTGTTGTGCAATAAAGCAATAGAAAGAAACACAACCACCCATCATGAGTGAGTTAAATGTGAGCTTTCATCCAGAACTCTGGATTCCCTCTCTTTTTGGTGACTGAAATCTGGCACCGTGAGGAAAACTGAATGATCTTGTATGTAAGGTGGGATTTGGTACTTCAGTCAAACCAAAGAAACTTTTCACATTTCCTGCCCGCCATCTCACCAGCCTGGAATCCCACAGCCGGCTCCACAGCAGGTGTAAATTGTTGTGGCCTCAGAGACTTCAGTGGAGCCGTCACAGTTTATACCCACTATGAGTCTGCTCCCCAGTCTTTCGTTTTTATGCCTTGTTCTGCATCAGAGTGTCTTTAACCCTTTAGGAACCACAGCTAGAGAGCATCACAAGGGACATGCAATTGGTCTTGTGAAATCCAAAGAAGCTGTATGGGGCTGGAGGGTGAAAGTCATAAACAGCAGGGCTGATGGTGAGCTGGGATGGCACAGGGCTCTTCTGTTTTTTCTTAAAGGTCTCCTGATGTGTATCAGGACATTTGGGACAGGCCTTCGTAACAGCGCCTGGAGGGGGCTATGTATTTCTGAGCCCACGAATCAGATTGTCTTGTCACCAAGACCTAGCACTTCAAAGAAATGGAGAAAATGCTGAGTGTATGGCTAGTTACAGGCTCTCATTTAGAATTTTCGGCCCTCGCCTACAGTGCCTGCGGTCTTGCAGTGGCGATCTGAGAAGCGGGGCAGGACACCGGACTTTGTGTAGCTGGCAAAGATGGTAAGCCGTAGACTTGTGGCTGCTTAAAACTTTAATAGTGGCACTGGCCTCCTTTCACATTAAAAGCAATGCGAGTCTCTGCTGGCAGCAATCCTGCAAGCATGAACTCTGTCCCTGTCCCACTCTGTCCCTGAAGGTGCATCTACACTTCGAGCTGGGGCTGTAACTCCCAGTTTGCGGAGAGATACTCTCACAAGCTGTGATGGAGCCAGTGTGCTGAAAATCGAGGGTAGCCTCAGGTATGTCGCCCCAAACTGGGAATTGCACCTCCAGCTCCAAGTGTAGACAGACCCTTAGGGACTTCAGGCGATGGAAAAGTCTCCAGCCGTACAGTCTTGGAGCCATCTCTGACAGTGCAAAGCTGCAGTCCTCCCCCCATTTATGAAGCTGTCTAGCCCAGATCTTCAAAGGTATTTAGGCACCTGAGGGTCTGGACCTCTGTAACTGCCCCACACTCTAAACCAGGGGTACTGGCCAGCGGACGAGCATCTACCGAAATGCCGCTGACAAGCAGCGTCATCCAGAGGCGTTGCTGCCAAAATGCCGCCGAAAATGCGCCTATTGATGTTGCCGCTTGTCGGCGGCATTTCAGTGGATGCTCGTCCACCGCCACGGTCCTCCGTGGCTCGCCAGACACACAAGGTTGGGGACCACTGCTCTAAACTCTGGTCAAATGGAGTGAATGGACTGTTCCTCTCTCCCTTTGTTTTGACAGTGTTTATGAAATCTTCTGTATAGCAAGCCTGACCACCCTGGAGTCAAGATTGCTCTCTGGGAACAGGGGATGATACAAATTAATGCAAAATCCTATTCTGCATTCCCTCCTCACTCCAGCCCTATCACACATGTGTACGTTTCCCTAAGTCCCACCACCACCCATCCCCCGCATGGCAGTTTAATTCCCAGTGCCTGATAGGGCTGCTGGCTGACAGCTACGGTGTCTGTGTGTTGCCATGGCCTGTGCAATGAGGCAGCGGTGAGGGTGCTGTGAAGGGAGTAGACTTGTGCAGTGGAGCCTGCCTCCTGTCTGCAGCTGGCTGTGCAGTGATCCCTGCCTGGAGGGGAATCCTAGAGAGAGACCTAGGCCTCTGTGTGTCTTTGAGCTCATTTGTCACTGCATAGCTGTTTCCTTGGGTCCCTGTGCCAGCCTGGAGTGGGCAGAGAGCCAGCATCACCCTTGGGTTTCTGCTGGGTGACTTTATATCTCCCCTTGTTAGTCAGGGCTTCCCTTGGGAGACCTGGTCTTTCAAAGTTGACCTGAAGAAGTAACCAAGAGTGAAGCAGGTAGTGGAGGTAGATGGCCCTTATCCCCTTTCAGTACCATGCTCCCGTTGATCTTTGGACAAGGATGATGTCTGTTCAAATGATCTAATTGCTGTGAAGTTAATGTTTGATCACCTGCGACTGTGTTCCCTGCCTGCTGCAGCAAGGGTAGCAGCATTTGGCTGGAGGAGCTTGGCCTCCTTTGCTAAGCTGGGGCTGCTTGCACCTCCCCTCCCCCAGGACCCATGTGACCTGGAGGGATGAGAGTTCTTTGGCCTTTCCAAGGAGTCTCCCCTCTCCAGCCTGGGATCTGGGTTCAGCCCATTTTAGAAATGGGGGCCCACTGCAAAATTCAGGTCTGGATTTCAGACACTCCAGAGCTTGGGTCCAGATCCCAGCGGTGATCTGGTTGCTCTGTGTTGCTCTCAATGGGGTGCTGGGGGCGGCGTTGGTACATTTGGTGGCTGAGTGGATGCACTGCTCCCCCCATTCCTTGGAACATGTGGTCCTAGCAGGGCACTTTTCCACCAGCGTGCCCAATGCAGCATGGCCCATCTGCAAAGCACCATCAAGGCCACTTTGTACAGAGTAGCAGCTCCTGGTGCCTCCTCCTTTGCCACCCATTACACAGCTATTCCATTGACCTCAGGAGCTGCATTGTCCCAGACGCTGGGCTCTGACCTGACCTGGATCCCATTTCCAGTGAGGTACAGCAGTAACCCATGTTCTCTCTGCCTGGATTCTGCTGAGCTGGCGTTCAGTCTGTATTTTAACTTCAGTTGGCTCCTCGCAGTGCTCCTGAACTCTGAGCCCTCCTGCAGATGTTTCCTCTCCCTCAGAGGGATTTGAGAGCCTTGCGTAAGCAGCCGGCTTTGCCAGACCCTCATTGCCCTGACTCTCAAAGGGTCGAGAGGTCACAGGCTACACAAGGCCAAAGCTTCAGAACAACAATGCTGCATGTGTGTGCTAGGCAGGAGGTTTACACTGAGCAGGCCATGGCACTGTCCCTATGGTCACATTCCCCTAACCCAGTCAGGCCTGGTAAGGCCATTACACACGATTCCTTAGTGCTTCTGTTTCATCGGCAGCACCAACTCGGAATGGAGGCTGTTCGTAACTCTGAACTAAATATTCTGGTTCTTTCCAAAGTTTACAACTGAACAGTGACTTAAC